ACCTTTGCTCGAGCGGGCCCAGTAACGTCTCCATTGGAGACTTTGTTGTTACTGTGTCTGGCATATATCGAATACTCTTGGTAGCTTGCCGGGCTCTCCGAGAGGGGCGGAGGAATCGAACTCGGGTTGGCCATGTTGGCCGCTTGTAAGGCGAACGCCCTACCTGCTCTTAATCTTGATTTATTGTTATAGGTTGATGATATATTTGGGGGCTATGATAATTTATTATTATTAAATATGAAGACACTGTGATTTACATAGTTATTCATAGTTGAGTCACAGTATTACAATGTTCCAACATCAATCTCACCACCAGTGTAGAGTTCTCTCTACCAATGTCCCCAGATTCCCTCTCATGCCATCTGCCCTCTTGGCATGCATGTTCTTGAGTTCGGTTATTGTAATTAAGATCTCATGTTGCAAAATTGTTGACTGTGTAGTTTATATATGAATGTTACATATACCACTTATGTATATGCATGAGTCTATACGATATCTCTACCCCAACAATGAGCTCGAGGCACCTGACCTCTACTGCTGTTGCCATCTGCCATCTCTCTTGCACCACCAACCTCAGTTTCTTTCCTTCCCCCATACTTTTCATTTCTATAACCCAGGGTCAAAGTGATCTGGGTATCCTCTCTTTGCAACCATGCATAGATGAAGGCTACTTAATGTTACTAACCTTTTACTTATTAGAAAGCAAAGTGTCTACACTTTGCTAAGTAATACTTTTCTGTGGGAAAGTCTCCCACTGTTTCTCAGAAGGTAAGGCTGTGGGACTGAGCAGTAACTGCAGAGGGGGCTTATTTGACTCAGGCAATTCCATGGATTTCTTACTGGGGAAAAGACTGGTTGGGCACTAACTTTTAAAAATACAAACCTGAATAATTTCTTCATGGATTCTTACCCAGTTGCCTTCCATTTAATATTTTATTGTATACACACTGTCACTGTCACTGTTCTCCCGTTGTTCATCAATTTGCTCGAGCGGGCCCAGTAACATCTCCATTGTGACAATTGTTACTGTGTTTGGCATATCGAATACATCACAGGTACCTTGCCAGGCTCTCCGAGAGGGGCGGAGGAATCGAACTCGGGTAGGCCATGTTGGCTGTGTGCAAGGCAAATGCCCTACCCACTGTGCTATTGCTCCAGCCCATTGTATACACACACAAATGAAAATCTGAAGACATATTAATCACAGATTCACTTATAACTAAAAAATAAATAAACCTGAGAACCTATGTTTAAAATTAGAAAGCAGCATAGTAAATTAGGTGAAGTTTACAAAATGAAATATTTGAGCAGTCTCTTAGAATCATGTTTCTAAGGACTCTTGTGTCAAGAGAAAGAAAAACAATAAGGTGAAACATAAAAGCCGGCTGACTGTTCATGGATATGCTAAAAGTCGTTGTCTCTCACTGTGAATTTAGAGGCACTTTTGATCTTCCTTTTATGATTTTCTGTATTTACTTTAATTTGCTCATGATGAGTTTATATCCCCTTTGTCATAAAGACATAATGGTGTCAATTATTTTTATGTGAGCTAGGGAAGGGCATAGGCCTGAGAATTCTCATGCTTTGCTTACATGACTTGCTTCCTGCCTTGTAGTTGACTTCCCTCTGTAAGTTTCTCAAAGTCTCCTCCCATGAGCCCCAACTTCAGCTGACAATCAGAGCCCACACCATACTTCCAACCTTAAGAAAAGCCTGACATCAGCTGTGCCCCAGAACCCTTCAGTCCCTGCACCATGGGAAATGTACCCTCACATTTCTTATTGGGATCTTGCAATCAGGGACATGGATTCAGGAGAAATTCAATGAATAAGTTATTCGCATAAGATTATCAAAATAACTGCTTTATTCATGATGGATTCATGCCTAGGTCTCCCCAGAGGAGTATGAGAGTCTATCAACATTCTCAAGAAGACTTTATTTCTAGAGAAAACATACCTTTGACTAGTACAAGAGCTTCTTTTGATTATCTAATAAAAGTCAGGTTAAGTTGGGGGAGAAAAAGAAATTCATGTTAAATATGGTGAACTCAGCAGATATACACTGAGTATGGAATACAAAAAAATTTCCTCAAGTTACTCTGCTTTTAGCTGGGGGGGGGGGCATTGAGGGTGTTTGAGGTGGGGAAGAGGTAGTTTGAATTATAACTCACCCTTCCCTGTTATCAATTAATAGCTTGAATTCTGGGTAAAGTTTTCTAATGCTTGAAGGACAGACTCAATCCCCACCTAGTCTTAGTTTATCTTTCTGGCCATTTTTCGTTTCTTATGTGTACTTGACCAAGGGGCTGATGACATGCCTCAGTTGGCTCCTAATTCTGTTTAAACTTACTTCACTGCACTCCCTTTAAGTTTCAGATTCCGAGCTAAGATTTGGTTCATCCTAGGCTTTTTCTGATCCTCAGTAATTTCTACAATTCCTGTTAGGCTTTACAGACCTGTACAAGGAACTTGAGATATTTAACTCAAAAATCCCTTGTCATCCTGTCTTGTCAATCTTATGCACATGACCACAGAATGACCTACCTTGAAATGACTCTTGCCTACCATAGAAGTTCCCATTTTAATTTTAAGATTGATTACAAAATTCTTAAAAATAAAAACATGTATTGCAAGATTGTTTTGTTCGCTGGTATATAACTTTCCATATTCTCTGAGTTAAGAAAATCTCTTTCCTTTCCTACATGTCCTTCTCCTACAAAAGCATTTTGAATGTGTACTCTGTGGGGTGCCAATCTCTCTAAAAATGTCCTTTTCCCTTCTATTTTACTCTCCATGAATCTTTTTCAAACATTCTTTCACTTGGAAAAACATATACCAGACCATTCTGTCCTTCAGGTTAAGTTGTTTAAGGCACATATTCTAAATTCTCATTAAACAAATACAGTCAAGAAAATTGATTTAGAAGACCTTAAATAAAAAAAAACATGCACAGGCCTTACTTTAAAAGGTGACTTGTTCACCTTTTAAATTTGAGTCAATCAAAGAGAAAAATAAATAAAAAAATAACTTGACTTATAATAAAAAGAAAGAAATTGCCAGAGAGTACATTCACAATTCAGAACAAAACTCTGCCTTTGAACTTCTTGACTAGTGAGTGCATTTTGGGTCTCATTCTCAGGCACCTTCTGCTTCTGAGAAGGAACACCATGGTTATGTATTAATTGACTGGGAAGGGATGTGGCCGTTTTATATCGATGTTGCATGAAGGTGCTGAGCAAAGTGTTGAAGTGCTTCCTTAATTCTTTGACTTTTGACTGAGTCAGCATATGAAATTTCTGGATAATAGTCAAAACTGAGTGCTACACGGTAGGGAACCTTTCCATAATGGCATTACCTGGCATCACCAACTGATAACACTGTCATATCTACTGCTCTGTGGGGGAATAGAGATGCAATTAAGACAAGGGACTGGGAAGTCATTTATTAAAAATAGTGCCAAAAGTGCATATAAAGACACACAGTGTAACAGAGGAGAATGTATCAGGCCAGCTAGGCCTTAGAAGAGAAGGTGCCTACATTCAGGTAAAGGGTACAATCTTATAGCACCTGTCACTGCTTCTGTCATTGCCCCCAACATCAATCCCCAATGTTCACCTCTTTCAAACTGGAAAGTAACTCATCTCATATTGTTTAAAGCAGCTTTTTCCCCTTCAGATATATAGACCACACTGTGCATAGGAACAGATCCAAAATATCAGGACAGATAGACACAATACATATACCCATGCTACACAATACATACAACTCATATACATGCTACACATACAATGTACAGCATGCATACATTCACACAATGCATATACATGCAACACTAACATATGCATACTCATGCTCACACATACACACAACACCCTTCTCCCCACCTCACAGCACCTGTATAAAGAATAATAGAAACAGAAGTGTCCCTGTAGAAGAGAACAGGGAAGACCACCCTCTTGCTTCACACGGGGGGAACTAGGTGTATCTCCTTGTGGTGCTATTTGCTAATGCTTAGCCTCAAACATATGTTTCTGCATAGATCTCTCCAACTGCACCATAGCAACCAGGTAATTTTTATTAGACTCAATGGATTCATGGCAAACTCTTCAATTACTGTGGTTAATACCGATGGGAGCCTCAGAGTCAACCCACCAGTGCTGGGCCAAGAGCAGAGGCAGTAAGCCTCATGCCTGGAGGTTATGAGAGGGGCTGCTCTCCAAGGGTTGAGGGTGTACACTCAATGAGTGTGTATGGGGGTACTTCAGTGCTGTTCTGTGCTGATTCTGAGGTGCCTCTGTGGCCTGGGACCCTGAAGTATCTACACTAGCTTTCTCATTATTTCTCAGAGCTGTTGTGAGGATTAAATAGGCAAACATGCATGCATGCACTTCTTAGAGTGCTTACCAGCTCACACTTCAGACACAGAATTAAAAGGTATTAAACTGTGTGGGATGAAAAATCCTTGTTTTATGTTTCCTAGATAAAAACTTCACTTGCATTTCAGCTTTAAGATTTACTCAGGAAATTTGTTTAGTCATTGTCACCCAAACCACACTTCTCTCCTCCAGGCTAAGGAACAGTCACTCTCCCTGTGCCCTTGGCCCATGTCTTTTCCTTCCAAAAGAATGGGTACTTGTTCTCATCTTCATATCACACTCTGTACAGATGGCATCCTTTCTTCTTTCTGTATTTCCAACTTAATTGTTTGTTTGTTTTTCCCCTATCTACTTCCAGGTGACTAAAAAAATATGTGAACAAAAATTTCTTCATCAAAAATACAACGTTAAGTGAAAATGTCTTGGGAAAGAGAAAATTTACAGAAAAAAGAATTGATGTGGCACATCAAAACTTAATTCTCCTTATTCAGAAATCTTTTTCTCACATGACCTTCATGTATACTCATCTTACATCTCCTCCCAACCTACCCCCCAGGAAATTTCTAGAATAACATGGTGACTTCTATTCTTTAAATTCTCTCACTCACCCAACGTCATCACTTACCCAGGTCATGCAATTTATCAAGAGGATAAATTGGGGGTGAATTATGTTTTAGCACAAGCCCCATCTTTCTGTCTAGCCTGGGTTTCCTTGCACACGTGTCTTCTGCTCCGGAAAAGGGCAGCTGTTGCCACAGGGCGGCAGAGCAGCTGCAGAACCATCTAGAATGGAGGGAGGAAAGAAGCCAGACAATAAAAAGAATTCTACTATTTCCCCTGGAAATTAAAATTACTTTGGAAACAATAATGAAATCAGTGCCCATTTGCTACTAGATATTTAAAAGATTTTAATTAAGAATTTTATTTTCCAAAATGATGGATCTTTTGAGCATAAAAGAATTGCAAAACTAAGGGCTAGGTCATTTTCCAGTTTTTTTTTGCTATTTGTAATACATATCCATTTAGATAGCTATAATAGCAAGTAAAGAAATCTCTCTCTCTTATAATACCCATTATGATAGCACAGTGGCATTATCCAGTGCAGCAACCTATAGACAGTTGTTTCTGATACTGTTGTTTCTGCCTGTCAGAGAAATTGCCCTTCATTCTTCATCTGGGCTGTGACTGGGATGAGGGTAGTAATGGTCTATACATAGGGCAGAGGGACAGCTAAAGTGATGGAAGTTATAAGTACCCTTTCTTTTACTGTAAGTGTATTAATTCATTGCAAGAGCACAGTTCTATTCCTTCCATCTGTTTTGCAGTTGTGGACATTCTTAAGAGGGGAGATGATTCAGGGTAGAATTAAGTTTTGCTTCAGGTGTCTCCATATGAACAGATCACTGTTAATTGCCTCTTTCATTCTTTCCATGCATCTCTAGCCAAAGACGTGAACCAGATGGCAATAGACTCTGGAAACAGATGTGGTGGAGAGGCGTAAATGCTTCTGAGGCATCCTGAGGGGGGATTTTTACCTTTTACCCCACCCATCATAATACAAATGATAGGTAAATTATTGATCCAATAGGCAGGCTTCGATTTCTTAGAAAAGTAAGTGTGATGGTAGTATTTGGAGGGAATGCTATATCAAGGAATTGATAAACTATGGTCACAGGTTAAATAATAAGAATTTTTAGAATGTGACCACATACATTCATTTATATACTGTGTAAATGCTTACAGACTCCAAAGTTGAAAACATTTGCCATCTTTTTTTTTACAGATAAAATCTGTCAATTCCTGATTTTGATAATTCTTGAGAAATCCAGAAGTCTACAGTGAAGTGAGAACACATCATAAAGGGAGTAGGGAAAGACTGAGTCCCAGGCAATAAATACCACTAGTGATTTATAACAGTATAAAATGTACCAAAGGACATAAGAGAGAAATAAAAGCACTCATGGGTCATATAATACTGATGTAAAACAGCCAAAACTTTAGTTAAAAGCAGAGGTATAGCATTTACTCTCTTTGTCTCTCTTTCTTCTTTTGTCTCTCTGTCGTCTATGAACCAAGGATCAGAGAAGAGTCAGTGAGGCGGAGATTAGGAAACATCTGCTATCATATCTTTTACTGAATTTGAAATGCCACTCAAAAGTCCACACTCACATACATACACACCCTTATAACACATTTATGCTGTCTGTCTTTCCAGCATTTTTGAAGAGCAGAGATTCGCAAACTTCATTTTCCTTTACTTGAAGAAACTATCAACACTCACATTACCAGACTCTACCCCTAGAGTTTCTAATTCTCTAGATCTGGAGTATGAACTAGAATGTACTTTTCTTATGTATTTTGAGGTAAGTCTGCTACTGATTAGGGGACCATGATAGGAAATCTGCTTAAGGGAATCATCAGTGTTTTGAAATTCCTCTGTATACATGTGCAGGTGAGAATTTGTACAAGTGAAAAGCAGCCTCTGTGGCCTGGAACTATGACTTTGAATTAAGTTCATATTTGAAATGACTATTGATTTCTCTATCCCTAGCATTGTAATTTCTTTAAGTTGTCTCTCTGGACTGGAGGTCACCTGGGCCTGAGCATGGCTTGTCCAGAGGTGATCCCCAGAATCTGAAGGAATGATATTTTAAAGATGCAGTCACTGCTGGTGAAAATACTTTCTGTTCCAACCCTGATGGAAAATATTATGGAGTTTTTTTCCATAAACTCTGCATTGAACTCCTATATGACCCAGCAGTTCTACTTTTGGGTATCTATCTCCAGGAAAGAAAAACATTCATCCAAAAGAATATTTGTACACCATTCTTCATTGCAGCACTCAGTACAATAGCTAAGATTTGAAATCAACCTAGTGTCCAGCTATAGTTAAGTGGATCATGAAGCTGTGGCATATACACACAATGAAATACAACATAGCTGTAAGGAATAATGAACTCATGCAAGTTGTGGCAAAATGGATGCATTGGAAGATGATCATATGAAATGAAGTAAGTCAGAAGAATAAAGAAAAACACAGGATGATGTTATTTATATATTATCTTCAGAATAATTGGGTGAGGGAATGCAATGTTTTAAAGGAAGGATGCCCAGATCAACCTTGGATCCTGAGTATTGGGAGAAGAAAAGACAGTGAAGAGACAAATGAGAAGCAATAGGAGCCAAGTCTGGGGATTAAGGTACAAAGGTATCTTAAGGAATGATAGAAACAAATATCCAAACCACAGGGCCAATAGCACTGAAATCAAGAGACACAGTTTAACGAGCAAATGCATAAATGTGTCTGACAAGAGTACAGGCTAGGGCAAGGAGGCTCAGGGTGAGACACGGGAGGGAACCTGGAACATTGGTGGAGGGAAGTTGACACTGGTGGGGTGGGATTGATGCTGCAATATTATATGTCTAAATTCAGCTATGAATAGTTTTTCAAATTATGGTGATTTAAGAAAATTTAAAATATTAATCCTACAAAACCCCTACAAAAACAAATCCAAGTTTAAAAATGATGTAGCCAATATTTTAAGTAAGAACATTTAAAATCTGAACCACAGTGTGGTGATATGAACTTGATCATATCAAATGAAATATCTGAGAAATAGATATTAAACCTGTGTTAGTGTCATATTGAACTCAAGGGTCTTAGGAGGTTTCTTCTAAGTGACTGCTAATGTGATTTATAAAAGTTACTGCATAAGCAAATAAGTCATCAAGTAAGACATTAGGATTACTGTTTTAAAATATCTAATATGGTTCTTGAATACATGCCTTGTTTCTAAAATCTTAGAAGTCAACATGTCAGATATCTGGCACTGGGGCACTTTTCCTATCCTTTGGATACTGCAACCTTTTTATTCTAGGATGATTGATGCATAGAAATCTGGGAGGGTTACACATTAACACAATTTATGAGTTCAAAAAGCGTTTTGAATGATAGACTGATTATTACATAGTCAAGGTTTTTATTCAGATTACTTTCCCCCTTTCCTTGCACACACAAAAAATTGGCAAACTCAAATTATGTCTGTGTTCCCTCTTCCTGGATCTCAGTTTCTTTTCAGCACTTAACCAAAAAAAAAAAAAAAAAAAGAAGGTTGAGGTTGTTTTTAAGATTAATTCAGATCTGCTCTTGGACTGTTCCTATGCCCATAGTTCTGCATTTGCCTTATGGAGGCTCTGTGCACATCAATTGGTGACAGAATTTTGTATTACATCTAGAAAATTACAAAGACTTTAAAATATATTTTACATAATAATAAATTATATGATGAGATATTCAGGATTTCTATGAAATTTTTAAAAGAACATATGAACTAGATTTTTTCTACCTGTTGTTCATTATTGTTTTGTATGTAAGAAAATACATAGTTTTATTTTCTTAAAAGATTAGTATCCCTGTTTGAAAAGTATATTCCACAAAAACCCGAGTTTGTGGAACTGGCATAAATGAATGTGTTCCTCATTTTGAACTAGGAAAAGGAATGTTGTGTTGGCTCTGCTCTTGCTGAGAAAAGGAAAACCCACCTTCATGTCTCCATTTCTGTCCTCCATACCCAACTTCAAGGGTACCAATCAGGTCTTATGTTACATTTATTGATCCTCACTTCAGCCAACCCTTGGGATGGTCTACAGATAGTTGCACAGTCAAATGGTTTTAGTATGATATTAAAAATATTTTCTAGAAGTGTTGAACTAGGAGACATTCATCCAACTAAAATTATTTGTTTCATAATATTATCTAAGTTTTCCTTCAGACACTAAAGTCCAGTGAAAAATACTGGAAAGTTCTCCAAAGAAGCATCTCACCATAAACACAGAATCAGTCTTTCCAAGTGAAAACCAGTCTATAAACAGACCTTCAGAATGAATAAGGAGTCTATCAAGAAGGAAACTACTTTTTGTGAAGAGCAAATTTTCCTCTCTAAAAATTTCAGTGTGCCTAATGCAGCACCACCAGACTTTGTGACCCTATGAATCTGAGCAAAAGAGAAATTCTTGTTCCATCTCTAGTAAGTCATAAGGAGAACAGGAAAAAAAAGTCTAGCCAAGAAGAAAAAGCAAACTTACATAAATACAGTAAATACTACAAGCCATTTCCCCTCAGAGGAAAGATTCAAGTAACTACATAATTTAATTACTTGAAACTTCACTAAATAACATTATATTTAAAAGATTAAGAAGTAGAAACACATCCTCCAAGTGGAAATGAAAACTTTAAAAAATCTCCAAATCTTTAGAATAAATGGAAATAAAATTCCATCTTCTGGCCAACCACTTACTTCTGGGAAACAAGACAAACATAATTTATTTCAATGAAGTGCAATCACATTCTAGGAAGAAGGCATGGGGGCTTCAAAGGGAAGATGAGTTCAAGTGTTTTTTTTTTCCCCTTGTCTATCTATGTCTCTAGCTGGATGGGATAGATCAAGCTTATTTACCTTTCTGAGCTCCAATTCTTTTTGTTGTTATTGTTTTATTTTGCTTCTTGGGCCAAAAGTGGCTTTTTCCAGGGCTTAAACCCAGCTCTGCACAGGAATCACTTCTTGCAGGCCCGGGAACTATAAAGTGCTAGGAAATAAACCTGGGTTGAATACATTCAAGGCAAGCATTCTATTATTGCTCTGGCCCCTGAGCTCTAATTTCTTTGTAGTAGATTTGTCAATACTGTGAATATAAAAATGAACATAAAATATACAAGGAGGAAAATTTTTTAGAAATAGTCAAATGACCTAGAGCCCTTAGACAGATAAGCTCACAGAGCAGAA